TTAATAGACTCTTCTAATATACAAAGTACAAAGTGATAATCTAAACTAATATCTAAAGATGATAATAACTCAACCCGAGTTCAGATTAACATTGAATTCTAATAAATTAAAGCAAAATTTTAAATATTTTATTGATATATTATATCCGATATGAAGAATTAACCATGTGTTATACTCTTAGAGGGGCTATAGTTATTCTTACATAACAGTGGGGGGTTATTTCAGAATAAACAAAACTGAAATGTAAAGATATAACATTATTATTTTACAGACACTTACTGCAATTAGAGAAACAAAAGAGATCCTTCTAACAAAATCTCGCAGAGACGACGGTCCAGAAAACAAACAAAACCAACTCTCGTTTTCCTTTTAGGTTTCGTCTCCACAAAGCTCATCGAGAAAGTCCCTCAACGAACAAATATAACCAATCCATTATCTCTGGGGACGACGGACAGAGCCACCGGAGACGAATCCTTTAGATCGGAGACTTTGGTCTCTTTATCTCCACCGAGAATAGATCGCCGGAATTAGGGTTTATCTACTCCTTTGTTCCTGGCCTAATCTACGGATTCGCCTATTTATGAGTTTTGGCTTTCACGATGACTCAACCTACCTGTCAATCTCAAGATCAGTCTTCTCCTCGTTCGTTGATTCCGCCACGGAGATCGGTGTCGAATTTCCACCGTCGCAGGTTAAAACTGTAGTTTGCATTATTGACAAGTTTCGAGCTTTGTTGTCTCTCAGTTATGGGAATTGGACTGTTTTAAGGGAATTTCGCGTTAGATCAAGGAATGTAAAAGCAGATCACTAGAAAACACTGATCTTATTTTTGTGTTTCTGAGTACTGTTTATAAAATGGTAGTGCGAAATTCTTGTAGTGATGCTTAAACAGGACAATGGGTTTTTCTATGTAGATGGAAATTTTAGTGATTTTGGTTAGATTCAGCTTTTGATTCTGGATCTTGAGTTTCTACTTTCTTGTTGATCTGGTTAGATCCTTCTAAACTTGGATTTGGAATCTGTTGTTTAGGGGGAAGAGCGTATTTAGCATGCTAGTCCAGAGGGAAATTTCACCGAAAGCAAAGTTTGTGTCTAGGAAACGGTGGTGTAAAAGTAAATGGTGTAGTGATTCCTCATGCGGAACCAACAGCTTGCCTGTGAAAGAGCCGAGACAAAGTCTTATTTCATGGTACCCTTCGTCCTTTCATGTTACTGATGGACATTGTCATGAACCCTGTTTTAGATTCTTATTTGTAATTGATGTTTCTTGTATGAAGGGTTGAGGCAGAGTCATTGCAGCATTTATCTGCAAAATATTGCCCTCTTGTTCCCCCTCCAAGGTCAACTATTGCAGCGGCTTTTAGTTCTGATGGAAAAACTATTGCTTCTACACAGTGAGTATCACATCTCGGTGCATATCTTTCTTTTTTTTCTTTTCATTTTGCCTTTGAACTCACCCAGTTTCTGTTTCTTGTAGTGGTGATCATAGTGTAAAGATTATTGATTGTGAATCTGGGAAATGCTTAAAAGTTTTGAGCGGCCATCAGAGGACGCCTTGGGTGGTGAGTTAGATAACGGTAGCCCTTTTTCCCAGCAGTGATTGATTATGTATCCCTTTTCTGTGTTTCATATGTAGTACCTTTATCAACTTATATATATAATTCAATCTCAGCTTGTGAAATAAATTTTGTTTCTAGCTTTGTCATTTGCTCTGTAGGTTGGTTGAGGGGTGTTAAGTTATACTTTTTTGTAGGTGTTGCATCGTTAATTGGACACTATTGCAACACACTTAAATGTGTTTGTGTTATTGTAGATCAGATAATCACCTAGGTATTGTAGCCCACTGCACTTATATCTAATGTTATCTGAGTTTCTACAGGTCAGATTCCACCCGCTTCATTCAGAAATAGTTGCTAGTGGAAGTTTAGACCAGTATGTCCGCTTTTGGAATACCACAACTTCAGAGTGTATTAGATCTCATGAATTCTGTAAGTCCTAGGAATCAGAACGTTGTGTTTGTTTTTTTCTCTGTAGGTCTGCCTATCATCTTATCAGTTTTTATTATTCTCTTTTCCCATACCAGATCGGCCTATTGCTTCTATCGCTTTCCATGCCGAGGGTGAAATACTTGCTGTTGCTTCTGGTCATAAGGTACTTCTTGCGTCTTAGGTCTCCCATGAATCGCTAGCCAGTTGCAAGTTTGTCCTCCTTTCAGAAAGATCTCAGAACGTTTCTTTCGTGATATTTTGCAGCTGCATATGTGGCACTACAATAGGATAGGAGAGGAATCATCACCAACAGTTGTATTGAAGACGAGGCGTTCTCTGAGAGCTGTACACTTTCACCCTCATGGAGCTCCATATCTCTTGACCGCAGAGGTGAGCTACCTTAAAGGATTCATTTGAATGTTATTTTGCCATTCTGTCGGCTTACATTTCTAACCTTAAGTGGCAGGTGAGTGACATTGATTCATTAGATTCCTCAATGTCTAGAGCAACATCTATGGGTTACTTGAGATATCCGCCCCCTGCTATTTTTTTCACAAGCTCGGAAAGCAGTCGAGCTAGTTTGGCAGCGGAACTGCCTCTTGTGCCACTTCCTCACGCGCCTACATCTTCTGGGTTTCAGAATATTCAGAGCTCTGCAGGAAACGAGAACAGATTATTGTTTCCGACTCCTCTTCACTTGGCTACGTCCAGTGGTTCCTATAGTGTTCCAGGAAATTCTCCTAGCAACACATTTACTGCGCGAGCTGGAGATAGAACTTCTCCTGCAGTTGATGCCATGAATGTAGATGAAACTCAACCTGTTGGAAGAAACAGAATTCCTAGCCAAGTTTCAAATCGATCAAATTTCCCTGAACTTGGACAGATTCAGCAATTATTTCACTTAAGGGACAGAGTATCCTGGGAGTTACCTTTTTTACAAGGATGGTTGATGGCTCAAGGTCATGGTGTTGCTAATTCAGTGGTTCCTCCTAGTGGCAGTAGTGATCATGGCATTTCAACACAGAATACAGGATCTTCAACATCTCGTTTATCCACTGCCAGCCTGGAGGCTGCAGTAGCGTTATTAGAAATCCCGAGTTGTGTTAACTTACATGGGGTTTCTGGAAGAGGCAGATCCAGGGAACAAACATCACAATCCAAATTCTTGGGATTGGGGTCAGCAGAAGGTGTCTCTTCTCGTAACACTCAACATGGAAGTGATGCTCAACCTGTGGTAAACAGGGTCCAGTCTGAACTTGCTAACTCAATTGCTGCTTCT